TAAGCACATCTTCACAAAAAACTTATACAAACGAAATGAGTTGTCTTTTAGTGAGCAGTCAGCCACTTGATCTCTAGTGGCTACATGACTTAGCTCCAGTAGTCCGTTATTCAGCTTTTATTTGATGAAAAACCTATCAATCTTCACATGTTTGGTTTTATCTTGTTGTACCGGGTTGTTGGCAATATTGATTGTTTACTTGTCACGCCACAACTTCAGTTGAGCTGCTTGATCCATCTTAAGCTCTACCAACAAGGCTCTCAACCACATCATCTCGATAACTTCTAAATCCATAACTCTGTACTCTGCCTCTGTTGTTGACCCCACTACTACCGATCGTTTCTTGCTCTTCTAAGAGACCAAGTTGCCCCCTACAAACATGCAGTATTCTGATGTTAACCTCCTGTACAACTCGCCCAATCAGGGTCACAATAACCCTCAATGCCTACATGATCATTCTTCCTAGAGATCAACCCCATCCCTCATGCACATTTCAAGTACCTCAGAAATTGATACACTGTGTTCATATGGCCTTTCCTTGGATCATGTATGTAGCGGCTCACCACGCTCACTGTAAATGAGATGTCGGGACGAGTGTGACTCAAATAAATCAGACGGCCCACCAATTTCTAGTACCTCTCGTGATCAAGCGACTCTCCTGCCTCTGAACTTAGTTTGTCCTTCTGATCAATTGGAGAGACTATAGGCTTGCATCCCAACATGCACGATTTTGTGAGGAGATCCAGTACATACTTCAGTTGAAACAAGACCATCTCCTCCGGTCCACGGTCCACCTCAATCCCAAAGAATTATCTAAGTTGTCCAAGGCCCTTCCATCAAATTATGTCCAATCTTACATTTAGCTGAGCAATCTGTCTCATCATTACCGATGATAATCATGTCATCAACATGCACAACAAGCATAGTGGTATAACATCCATGTTATCAAAAGAGCAACGTGTGGTTGGCATTGATCTGTTGATATCTCATGCCCACCATAGCCTTTCTAAACATGTCAAGCCAAGCTCGAGGAGAATATTTTAAGTCATAAAGTAACTTCCTGAGCCTGCACACCTTACCCACTATCAGACCTGTACTAAATCCCAGTGGTATCTTTATATACACCTCCTATAGTAACTTACCATGAAAAAACTCATTCTTCACATCAAGTTAGAGTAACCACCACCCACCTTTCACTGCTAGAGAAATCAGTGTCCTCATTGTCCTCATCCAAACTACTGGTGCAATAGTTTCATCATAATCAATGTCATGCGTCTGACTGTACCCTTTCGCCGCCAATCGTGCTTTGTAACGTTCTTCCTTTCCTTCTGGATTTTGTTTCACTGTGAAGATCCACTTACACTCAACTGCTTTTTTCACAATTAGTAGTGACACTATCTCACATGTTCGATTTTTATCGAGAGCACAAAGCTCTTCATGTATGGTCGCTTTTTACTTATAATCCTCCTCAGCTACCTGCGAACACTTAGGTATAGAGACAACTTCAAAAGATGTAATGAATGTTCCGTGTAGGTGAGATGTTAGAGTATGAAACAAAATAAACAATGTCATGTTCTCACCCAAAAAAATCAGGAGAATGTCACGCATTGTTATAAGAGGTAGGGTTTGGAAGCATATGAAAGAAAAATCACATGTGAACTATGAGTATGAGGTGGATGATGTAGATGTCTCAAAAGTCGGTAGGCCGGAAAAAAGAGCATGTTGGCACGAGTGGCACTGCATGCATCGTTCCATCATTCTGTTTCCTCCTTATATATGCCCTCAACTCCCCTTATGCCAGAATCTCAATGCCTCCGAGCTCAATCTATTCAGTTTCAATCTCCTCAATTTCTCATTACTAGGTCGATTCATCCCATATCACAGGACACGACATTTCTCCAACATGCACCAATCTCTCACCATTACTACTCACCTCTTCTTGCTTCATACCTTTAACATCTAGTGAGTCACCAAAGGGTGAGAACACCTTCAACATGTATACGGTTCAAGTTCTCTGAAGGACATAACCATACTCACAACAGTTTCTTATCTATCGGGCTCCAACAAACATCTGTAACCAAATAACCTAAGAAAATACATTTCATAGCTCTAGTATATAGCTTTCCTACCGATGGTTTATTATCCTTCACATAACATACATAGACAAATACCTTCAATGATAGGATCCCACTATTATCTCCTTTTAACATCTGACAAGGAAACTTTCAATCTCACACTCTCGAGGGCATTCTGTTGATCAATTGAGCAGCTGTCAAAATTGCTTGCGCTCATAAGTGCTTTGGGACATTCATCAAAATCATGTTTCGGACTAACTCTAGAAGGTGACTATTCTTCCGTGTTGTTATTCCATTTTGTGTTTGATGGAACGTGAATTGATGTTGTATCCTTTTGGTCGACAAGTATTCTCCAAAAGCCTTGTTGGTATACTCTACCGTTATAGGACTCAACACCGTCATTACTACACCTTATTAAGAGTGGTTTGCCTTATGAAAATCTTTAAAGCAAGAAAATACATCAGCCATGTTTTTCATCAAATATAACTAACACGAGAAAAACAATCAATAAAATAACAAAATATTGATAACCATTCATTGAACTCGTAGAACAAAGTCTCCAAACATCATAATGTATCAAATCAAAACCACAAGGAATCCTGTTCCCGGAACTGATATAAGAGTTCATAGTAAGTTGTCAAACTAACAAACATCACATACAAGTTTTTTGTTTATTTGTTTTTTCATAAAAAAATGGATATAAATGACTCAGTAAACTAAAACAAGAGTGTCACATGCATCTGTGATGTAGCAGTAACACATCATCCACAGTTCTCCCATATCTCCCTGCTCCAACACTCTCTATCATGAATACTTTTATCAGAGTGAGCATAAGCAGCAATGTTACCCCTTGTTGACGATAAGGTGGATGCATTTTCAGCTCCATCACCTGTTATTTTCTGCTTCCTCTTCAAAATCTCTAGAAACTAATGATCCTCATCGGTAAAGACGACACCTTTCTCTCTATCGTCCTTTACTACCATCAAATTTGTTTGGTAGCTCCCTCTTTCACCTCTTCGAACACCACGACCACGACCACCAAATTATCCACATCCATCTATCTCTCTCTCCTTAGGTGGCATGGGATAGACCTTGCTCAAATGGTCTATTTCATCACAGTTGTAGCACTTGCAAGTCTCCTCATAGACATCAATCATACTTGAGTTCGAGATAGCTAAAGTTGATCGTGTACCTGGAAGTCCACTTGGCTCAGAGTGTAGCCTCATGTATCATCATAGTGAAGGCCTCATCCAATGAAGGAATTGTTTCTTAGGATAGGAGGACTGATCTCCTCTGATCAAAGGCCAGGTTCAGATGAGTCGAAAACTGCATGAGCCTCATCTGTGCAAAGATCTCTCCCTTTTTGAACCCTGGATCACCACAACATAACATAGCTGAGAAGTGATCAAGATCTAATCACAATCGCTCCAACCCTATGGAGTACTTATGAATTGATCTATCATCCTTTACCACTGTCTCTATCTCATGCTGAATAAGGAACACCCTAATGTGATTCTCAACTCCAACATAGACCCTCTTTAGCTTCACACAGATGCCCCTCATCTTTTGAATGTCATCTACTAACGAGGCAATCGATGGAACCATTGAGTTGAATAGTCAGGTGTAAAGCAAAGCGTGTGTGGTCCCCCACTCATCCCCCTCGGCACTGTCACTCTTTGGTTTGACCCCCATCAAATATCCCTCTAGTTTCTTTGCTATTAGAGCAACCTCGATCTGACGCGAACAACTCAGTTACATGGCTGATCCAACAAGCTTCAGATAATAGGATGGAGTTGTAGCTTCAACTACATCAGAGCAAGTACTGAGGTAGTGGTTTCCATCAAGAAGCTAGCTCCCTATATGAGCCTAAAAAAGGTTTTCAAAACTTCAAGATCTATCTTCCCCAACAACTCCAATCCTTTATCTCTCGCACTATCTTTTTCTCCTGACATCCTCAATCACAATGATTCAAGTCTAGATCATATGGATCACACACAATTTCATTCCTCTCCTTGACCTGACCTTGATCTATCTCACCATCAAAATCAAACTCAATTTAAATATTCTTTGCTTCATATGCCCAATCTGAAACCCTCACCAGTTTCAGTTCCACACGGAGCCTCCCCGTTACGTCCCTTGCGCTAGAAGTCGAAACCTTCGCCTGTTTCCCTTTCGTGAACCAGCAACTAAAGGCTTTGGAATCTCCCTGCTACGCACGTAGGAGCTTGCACTTTCCCTCTGCTTCGCAACAAATGAAGGGATCTATATGTACGAAGACCTTCAAAACTCCCCATTTTTTCTCTTCTCTATGCATCAAAACAAGAATCACAAGAATACAACCCACTTCTCCTCTTTGTTTGCGTGGCAACAACAACAAATATGGTATTGCAGCAAACCAAGACCTTCGAAACTCCAGCAGTCACAATTAGGGCTTGTTGCAAAGCACAACAAGATAGCACAAGAAAAAGACCTCCGAAACTACCCTCTTCCGCTCCTGCAATCAGGAAAAGAAACAACGGGATCACTGCATACAAAGATCTTCCGAAGGTGTTCCTGCCTCCTTGTATTGGAAGCCAAAGCCTCCTGCTCGTTCTTCCCTTCAGTTTGAGCGGATTGCCAAGGCTAGGGCTAGGGCTCTAATACCATCAAGAAATAATTGCTCCAAAAGATTTAGACCGTTTCATTAATCACTAGAGCTTATATAGAGTCTTACAATGTTTTTACAAATAAATGTCTGGACTTCTTCCATTTACAAATTGAATCATATATTAGATACAAGTCTCAAGAGTTTCAAACTTATACACCTCAAATAGAACTCACCAAGAATAAAAGGAGAAAGATTAATGAAACTAATTCTGAAGGATAAGATTCATGATGATTATGATATCAAAGGCTTTGGATTTGCTATAAAGCACAATTACTCACGCTTTCATGGGTGGACGAGATATCACAACTAGAAGGTGAAGATCCTCACTCTCATCTGTATTCCAAACCTGAATAATAAAAAAAATCGATATTATATGCTACCAAAACTAGATTTTTAATATGACTTTGTTTGAGGAAGTAAATCGATGAAACAATAGATATTAAGCCAGTAGTGATAAATTCAGAAAGTATAAAAATAATTGGAAGACGACTTAAAATATAGAACCTTTCCCATAAATACTCCATGAAAATAAAAATGCCATCAAAAAATTTATCGTATTAAATGCATAAAATAACTCAAACAATGTCTCACCAACAGTATTCTTTCAGAATAACATAAAATGGCACGAATAAATTCCCTAAAAAATATATTAACAAAATAATACCATATAAGGAGTCAGCATTTGTTAAAACTTCCGCATCCATCAAAATAAATGATGTCTAGATACTAAAGCAGGTTATCGCAAAGTGTTAGCTAAAATTTGAATATTCAAGCATAATGTTTCTAAATAGTGTTCTATGCCATTAACTCATCAATTTCTAATTCAGCAGTTGATAAGGAATTTAAAAAAAATATGGCTGAACTTAAAAAGTACTTCTAGTTAATTATGCATGTAGAAAAGCATGCAAGCACAATAGAAAAGATGAGAAACAAAAATTTGCATCCTGAATTTTCTCCCAAAATGATTATGACAGAGTTTTACATGAGGTTTCGGGTCAAATTTTTAGAAAGCAAATGAGACAGTAGATAAGATGCTACTCAGAGATTTCACCCTCATTTTGCGATGACTATTTGATATGAGATTTAATATATCTCATAGGCATAAGACACTATCGTTAATTATCTCTATCGATGACAAAAGGAAAAGTTTCAATTAAAATTACTCATTATAGAGTTGAGTATAATAGCAACAACTTAATTTTAAATTGGAGAAATTTATAGCTTTGAGCTTAGAGAAGATATTAGGAGAAATGATGATGGACCCAATCACAATACTATGATTTCATTGTCTCAGGTTGGCATAATCTCTTATGTACTCAGTTAGAGGATGCAATCGACCCAACCTAATAAAATGAACCTTTTCGACAGCAATGAGTTGCTTCATTCAAGAGAAGCTTATAGATTTATGGTAGATTTTGTTTAAATCGACAAATTCAAATCGACCTTACTTGACAAAGAGATTGTTGCCCTATGAGGTGTACACCATTATTTATAGCTCAACTAAGCAAAGTCATTATGGAACATACAGATTACAGTTGTGGTCGTAATATAGTGGAGCTTATTGGCCAAACTATATGGATAGATGACTCGGGTCACATTCTTACTGGCATGGAATTATTTTAAATGTGAATGTAGTAGTATACTTAATATGACACTTGCTCTTTATAAGGTTGGGTTATCTTTAAATTTGTCACCATCCACAAAAGATTATAAACGAAGGATGAGTTTTTCTCTTTATCTTTAAGTTTGTCGACGGTCGGACCAATTTAACATTGCGTGCGGCTACAATGAATGTATGGATTGCAGCGTTCGTGAGTATGCGGTGTGAGTGTATGTATGTGAGCAGGTCATTCAGGGTCAAAAAAGTGTCCCTAATGCCTTTAAATCCCGTGAAAACTCATTTTTGAGTCATCTACATGTTGGTTCTTAGCCCTTCCAACTCATGTGTGATTTTCACAAACATGAGTCACAAAATGGTTTGAAGTTCTATGTCAGGTGGGTTCTATTACTAATCCTCTAGGATGGTCAATAAGAAACAACTAAAGCTAGATCCTAGGTTATAGGAGAAAAAAATCAAGACCTCACTAAAAATAATGTCAACAAACACGACTATCAATAAAATGTGATATTTAAAGTACATGTATTTATAATTTGATTTAAGTTCAAAACGAGCAAATATAAAAGCACCATTCATGTTGCAGGATTCCAAAAATTTGGGCCCTGAACTCTCGTTGGTTGAGAAAGTTTCTTATTTGGTGTTTCGGGTTAAATTTTCAAAAGAATGATTGAATTGTAGATAAGACACTACACAGAGGTTTTACCCTCATTTTGTGAGGATATGTTGATCTAAGATTTGAGGTTTCCTATAAGCGTTAGACATTATAGTTAATTACCCCTTCCGATAATGGAAGAGCACTTTCTATTAAGGCTAATCATTAAAAATTGAATATTCAACGTATGGTATCAATTAAAAAAGATTTTATGTTAATAAATTTATCACCTTTAGCATAAAGAGAATGGTGATGAACTCAATTAAAATCTAATGATTTTGTCATCCCAGATTGGTGTGGTCACTATGTAATAACCAATATTTTTGAGAAATAAAAGACAATTTTTTGCGACTTAAAATGTACCTCAAATTTAGGATCCTTTAGATTTCAATCGACAATAGTTTATAAAATTATACACAAAAAAGTGATCAATTCTATATAAACCACTGTGAATGAGAAATATTAAATCTGAAAGTTTTTCAGTTTAATTAATTTTAATTAAATCCTCCCTTAATCCTGCAACATTTTTTCAACCGACCTAACCTATGCATTATATGCGTCGCTTAGGGAAATTTTCCATCCTGAGCTCTTGAATTTCCCCTCCTCTCCCAATACTCCTCTCCCTCCCCTCATTTCGTTCGACAGAAGACACGGTTGCAGCAAGTCCGCAGAAAGGGAGGTGACATCTGGCAAGCCGCAACCTACTCCCCTCTCCCTATTTCCTCTCTCATTCCCCTCTCCCAGTAGGGTTTCATGTGACAGAAAACCTGCCTTCCGCGAACTCTCGCGCTTGAACCACTCTAGCAAGGGGTGAACGAGCGAACGGTAAACCCAACGGCCCTTGGGTGTCGCAGTTCAAAATCTCCAGGACAAATTCTGTAAGTGTGAATTTCTATTTCATATTATTTGAATTTTTCTTTTCTTTCTACTGCTTCTATTTTGAGTTTTGCCTCGTTTTCCATGCCTTTTTCCTTTTCGATAGTCGTCAGAGGCACTGATTGTGTGTCGAAAGTATCGAATGACTTTTGAGAGCTTCCAAAAGGGTTCTGACACAATATCAACATAAGAGAAGCGTGATTGGAGGTGATAAAAAGTAAATTTGGCATCTTTGGAGAAGGATTGGTAGACGAGAAAGCCGTCTAAAGTATGTTTCAGCAAATCATTTATATTTTTGGTTAAACTACTTTATTAGCCAAAATATTTTTATAAGTTAATTGTAGATTCTACGCTGTTTACCGGAGCAACAGGCTCGAGGCAAGTGTGGACATTCACTGTAAAGCGACCCAATAACTTTCAGGTAAATTAATCCTAAGCTAAGAAGATTAATTTGATTAATAGAAAATTCTTGAGTCTTACATTTTAATATTATGTTTTATAGATTATTAATTTTAACGTAAAATTCACCGCAACCACTAGCTAACTGTCGGCAATTAAGAGTTTAGCATGGTAACTGGGGCGAGTAATTGCATTCATAAATTTCAATAATCTTTTTTATTTCAGACTGTATGTTTGTTTTCATGTATGTCCTAGTTTAATCAGATCATTCATATTGTTAGATAGGATATATATGCATGATAAACATAATAAGAAAAGATATGTATGCATAAAAGATATGCATGAAATAAATGATATATAGACATGTTAGGAAACATATATGTATGATAAGTTTGATAGGAAAAACATGCATGATACAAGTAAGAGTATGCATGAGATATAATATATAATTAAGAGATATGCATGAGATATATATATATATAAATGATTTGAAAGATATGTCTGACGAATAGTTATACAACAAAATAAATATACATGTTTCAGAATAATATATGTATGAAAAATGAAATGACTTATATATGAATATTTGTTTATGCATGCTTAGAGGAGGATTTCACCCCCTAATGGTACTAGTAGAGAACGCCAGTGTATTCGCACGTGTAGAGTTTTATGACCACCCCAAACAATATGATGGTTGGTTCACTAACCGTTGTGTCGACGAAATAATATCGATCGGGGGCGAGTAGACCAGAGTTTATCACCCAAAAATTGTAATGTTTACGTTACTAATCACCGTGCCAAAATGATAATATCAGTCAGGGGCAGGTAAAGGCATTTCCACCCTGAAAAATTGTGATGAGTAGATCGCTAAATGATGTGCTAACGGGAGCTAACCAGGAAATATCGGCCAAGTGTGTGTTAGGTTTGTTGATGGAGATCATCACAGCGACAGATGTGTATATAAAGTATAAAGTAAATGTAAAGTTAAAATAAATATTTATAGAAGATTGAGTATGTTTATTTAGAAAAAAGATCATTGATGTATGCGTTAACATATATCAGATTACTTATAAGTATATATATCAGATTGTTTATACATTATAAAAGACCAGCAAATTATAAGATTTCTTATAGACTAGCAGACATATTGTATTTTTTTTTCTTGGATTGCTATAGTTTAAAACTGTGATTACTTCTGAGTTATATTTAGATAACTCATTATGTTGCTTCAATATTATTTTTAAGTTTTAAAATTTTAAAGAAGATGAATAAAAAAGAAGCAAATGTGTTTAGAAGACGAGAGCAATGAAAAATGTGCAAATTTTCACTTGTTAATTTTAATTACTTTCCATAGTGACACTTACATGTATTATTTAAATATTAAACTATTAGTAATATAATTAAAATAACAGACAATTGATTTTCACCATCCGACCGTCCATTCCTGTCTTGGTTAACTCCAAGTCTTGGGTCGGGTCGTGACAGTTGATCTACATAGGAGGTAGTCGACCTAAGCAAATCAAATAATTCCTATCAACATTAACAAAGATCTGAGGTGAATGTTTGTCTATGGAGATCAATTTAAGTCAACCTTAAGTAACAAAATATTTTGTATCAATCAAATGTATCGTTCATGATTTTCAACTCAAAACATAGAAATTTGTTGGGGAATGGACGAGTAGTAATTGTGACCGTAATTTAATGGTATCATTTGGCAGCAATCCACCTGGTTAGAGGGCTCTAATTGTAACATTTATTTTTTATGAAGTCATTGGGTTACACTAAACGAACAGAGGACTCG